CCTAGTGCTTTATCTTTCCCTCTACCCATATTCTTAGAAACAGGGAAGTAAACGGAAGCTTCTGCTTTTACGTACTTGGCAATAGTAGAACTTATTAAGTAATTCTGAAATTTCCACCGTCTTGTTCACATTTCAAAATCAAGTTCATTTGCAGGAATCCTTTGAGTTGCCTCTTGTGTGCTCAGAGATGATGGAATGCCAGGATGAAAAGTCGTTAAGGTAGTTTCGGGAATGAGCTGTCTCCTCGTGTCAACAGTAGACTGCCTATTTTAGTCGTTTGCCTCACTGCTCCAGCAGGCAGCCTGCCTGCTTCCGAACCAGTCACCAGCTCCCCCAGCACATGTTTGCAAAACACAGCAAGCGACTCCTTGCTGACTTCACGCAGCATAATCATGTTCCAGTCCAGACCTCGGCACACAGCCAGTCCAGTGCCTTAAAATGATCTACAGCATACATCATACTACCACAAAGCATCACCTCGCACTAACTCAAAACTGTTCTCATATATATTTTAGAAACGTTTCCTTTCTCTCTTACTCTGGATTTTTTACAGGTATACCTAACTTTGGACAAAAGCTGTGTTCTGATGGGGATTGCACTGAATGTGTAGATTGCTCTAGGTAGCATTGACATCTTCACAATATTTGTTCTTGCAATCCATGAGCATGGAACGTTTTTCCATTTCTTTGTGTCTTCCTCAATTTCTTTCATGAGTATTTTATAGTTTTCTGAGTGCAGATTCTTTGCCTCTTTGGTTAGATTTATTCCTAGGTATCTTATGGTTTTGGGTGCAATTGTAAATGGGATCGACTCCTTAATTTCTCTTTCTTCTGTCTTGTTGTTGGTATATAGGAATGCCACTGATTACTGTGCATTGATTTTATATCCTGCCACTTTACTGAATTCCTGTATGAGTTCTAGCAGTTTTGGGGTGGAGTCTTTTGGGTTTTCCACATGAAGTTGCATATCATCTGCAAAGAGTGAGAGTTTGACTTCTTCCTTGCCGATTTGGATGCCTTTTATTTTTTTGTTGTCTGATTGCTGTGGTTAGGACTTCTAATACTATGTTAAATAGCAGCAGTGATAGTGGACATCCCTGCCGTGTTCCTGACCTTAGGGGGAAAGCTCTCAGTTTTTCCCCATTGAGAATGATATTCGCTGTAGGTTTTTCCTAGATGGCTTTTATGATATTGAGGTATGTACCCTCTATCCCTATATTCTTAGGAGTTTTGATCAAGAAAGGATGCTGTACTTTGTCAAATGCTCTTTCTGCATCTATTGAGAGGATCCTATGATTCTTGTTCTTTCTTTTCTTAATGTATTGTATCACGTTGATTGATTTGCGGATGTTGAACCAACCTTGCAGCCCAGGGATAAATCCCACTTGGTCGTGGTGAATTATCCTTTTAATGTACTGTTGGATCCTATTGGCTACTATTTTGGTGAGAATTTTTGCATCCATGTTCATCAAGGATATTGGCCTGTAATTCTCCTTTTTGATGGGGTCTTTGTCTGGTTTTGCGATCAAGGTAATGGTGGCCTCATAAAACGAGTTTGGAAGTTTTCCTTCCATTTCTATTTTTTGGAACAGTTTCAGGAGAATAGGTATTAATTCTTCTTGAAATGTTTGGTAGAATTCCCCTGGGAAGCCATCTGGCCCTGGGCTCTTGTTTGTTGGGAGATTTTTGATGGCTGCTTCAATTTCCTTAGTGGTTATAGGTTTGTTCAGGTTTTCTATTTCTTCCTGGTTCAGTTTTGGTAGTTGATATATCTCTAGGAATGCACCCATTTCTTCCAGGTTATCTAATTTGCTGGCATAGAGTTGCTCATAATATGTTCTTAGAAGTGTTTGTATTTCTTTGGTGTTGGTTGTGATCTCCCCTCTTTCATTCATGATTTTGTTGATTTGGGTCATTTCTCTTTTCTTTTTGATAAGCCTGGCCAGGGGTTTATCAATCTTGGTAATTCTTTTGAAGAACCAGCTCCTAGTCTCGTTGATCTGTTCTACTGCTCTTTTGGTTTCTATTTCATTGATTTCTGCTCTGATCTTTATTATTTCTCTTCTCCTGCTGGGTTTAGGCTTTATTTGCTGTTTTTTCTCCAGCTCCTTTAGGTGTAGGGTTAGGTTGTGTATCTGAGACCTTTCTTGTTTCTTGAGAAAGGCTTGTATTGCTATATACTTTCCTCTTAGGACTGCCTTTGCTGCATCCCAAAGATTTTGAACAGTTGTGTTTTTATTTTCATTGGTTTCCATGAATTTTTTTAATTCTTTTTTAATTTCCTGGTTGACCCATTCATTCTTTAGTAGGATGCTCTTTAGCCTCCATGTATTTGAGTTCTTTCCGACTTTCCCCTTGTGATTGAGTTCTAGTTTCAAAGCATTGTGGTCTGAAAATATGCAGGGAATAATCCCAGTCTTTTGGTACCGGCTGAGACCTGATTTGTGACCTAGGATGTGACTATTCTGGAGAATGTTCCATGGGCACTAGAGAAGAATGTGTATTCTGTTGCTTTGGGATGGAATGTTCTGCATATGTCGGTCAAGTCCATTTGGTCCACTGTGTCATTTAAAGTCTTTATTTCCTTGTTGATCTTTTGTTTAGATGATCTGTCCATTTCAGGCAGGGGTGTGTTAAAGTCCCCCACTATTATTGTATTGTTGTCAATGTGTTTCTTTGCTTTTGTTATTAATTGCCTTATATAATTGGGTGCTCCCATGTTAGGGGCCTAGATATTTACAATTGTTAGATCTTCTTGTTGGATAGACCCTTTAAGTAGGATATAGTGTCCTTCCTCATCTCTTATTACAAAGCTGTATTCTAAGAGAACTCATTGAAAGGACTTCAAGGTAGCTTTTTTTTTCAGCAATGAGGGATCTATAGAATAGTCAGGCACCTTGCATTGATCCATTTTGTAGGTCCAGATTTTCGCCTGGTACTTTTACACAGAGGAACTTGGTTATAATTTTTGTTTAACAAATCCATTTCTTCTATAAAGGGCACTTTCAAAAGTGCTACATTAAGTGCATGGATTTGGGCACATTGTAGTTATCACACTTATAGTGTAATCATTTTGCAATATATAAGTGCATCAAATCAACAAGTTTTACACCCCAAACTTACATGTTGTTTTATGTCGATTATATCTCAGTAAAGCTGGGAAAAAAACATAGTGTTTTCTTGGCAACAAATATAATAAGAAAAATGAATACTTTTCGAGATGGGCTATTGTGCATATATAAGTGAGTTGAAAAAATGATTAGAGTCTGTTAATTTTTTTAAAATCAGTGTAGAGCTCTCTGGACTAGGAAACAGGGATGAGAATGGCCATTTATTATGTACCTGCCATGTGCCAGATCCTGGAGTAAATATTTTAATATCAAGTGCAGCTCAGTGTAGGGTTTCAAACTGCTGGTTCTAAGGTTCAACTGCCCAAGTTTGAATTGAAGCTTCTACACTGTTACAAGGATTCAGAGAGATGAGGTGTGCAAAGCAGCTAGTTCTTGTGCTGGTACAATAGTGAAGGCTAAGTCAATTAGCTGTTCGTTATTCTTTGAAGTAACTCTTTGAAGTAAGCAGTGTCCCCATTGTGCACATGAAGAAACTGAGTCTGGAGTGGCCGAAGTAACTTGCATACAGTTTTCTAAAGTAAGTTGCAGAAGCAGAATTAAGAACCAGGGTTCTACTGGGCATTCTGATAAAACCTCTCACCAGGAGTTACTCCCCTAGGCCACCAGGGAAATCTGTGCTAACCCTAACATTTCTAAGTTTAGGAAAACTTTCAAAGGATGCATTTCAGCAGTCAACCATTCTTAGAGTTCTTTTCTGCAGTGGATAGCAGATTCTCAGCTATATGGATAGGTCTGTGCTTTTCAAAATCTGTGCATGATTTATGAAACATGCCAAATACACCAGTTCTATCAATAATGCTGCTGTGTAAATGTCATCATCTATGCAAATATCAACTTGTAATGCCAGTTTGAGGATATCATAAGGGTGACGTTCCTTTAGCAACCAGAAGGCAAACTTATAAAAGGAATTTTTTTTTTAACTTTTTAACTAGTTGCTGTAGTTTTCATCACTTCTTACACCATGAATACCGAGTGATGCTGGGCGCCCCCAGTACCTTGACCACATCTGTCAGGCTGGATTTCAGTGTTGTTCAAATAGCCTTCCTAGATGGTGCTTCCACTGAGGCCATCCTTGTTTTCATCTTTAAGGTTCATGGCTTAGTAACCACAGTGACCAGGTATGGCTATTGTAGGACAATGACTGAAGTTTTGTTTTGTTCTGAGAGGGAGAGAGGGGTGGAGGGGCAGAGGAAGAGGGAGACAGAGAATATTAAGCTGGCTCCACACCCAACATGGAGCCCAACGTGGGGCTCAATCTCACAACCCTGAGATCACTGACGTGAGCCAAAATCAAGAGTTGGACACTTAACTGACTGAGCCACCCAGGCGTCCCAATGACCGAAGCTTTAATAGTGAAAGAGTTCAATGGTGTGGATACTAGAACTGGAAACTCATTTACTAATGCAGGATTCTGCTTTGCTGTGTGGAAATCTTAGATAAATCGGTCTTCTGTAGCTCAAGATATGGGTAGAGTTTAGCTCTTATCATACACTGAGATTCTTTTTCCTTTAGATGTATATATAAAAGGGAGAATGGAATGAAATTTCAGGTCCACAAATGAATATGGGCTTAATATAAAAGCATGAAACAAGAAGAAGTGGAGCTGAATATCACATAATTTTCATTGTAGTTCACTTCCTAGCGCTTGATCTAGTCAAAATATTTTCCTTCACAACATTGCTACCTTCTGAATTACTAAGATGATTAACTATATCCTGCTGTCTGAACATACATCTGCAACACGGGCGCAGAGTGTGTGCACTAAACCCTATGCAAATGAAGACAACTCACTCCAGGATGCTTTATGAATGTGACAGTTGAAGAAGCTCCACATCACCTCATTTAAACCCCTCTGGGTTGTCCTTTCCAGGGCTCAGCAGATTCCTACACGAGCAGGCCGTCTGACTCCGATGTCTCCTTGGAAGAGGATCGGGAAGCAATTCGGCAAGAGAGAGAACAACAAGCGGCTATCCAGCTTGAGAGAGCAAAGGTGATTTTCTTGCCCCTCTTTGATTCCACAGTGGCATGTTGCTCAGCAGGTATCAGCTGCTCATCCCCTGCCTCAGATTCCTCTGGAACAGTCATTTAATGATCATCCTGATAAGGCACCAGATTGTAAGGCTCCCTGACCCATTTACCCCCCAAGAGAGGTTCGTACCGTTCCCAGGGGGGCCATTTCCTGAGACCCTGACCCTTCACCCTTTGTGTCAGCTTTGGTTGTGAATTATTGGGCACCTTCCTACTTCACAGTTGTGGCTAATATTAAGCTTGCCACTGCCAGTGTTGGCAGAGAGCCTCCTAAGGTGCGGGTTGTCCTGCCTGTTCCTGACCCCTCATTCTCTGTGCCATCAGCCTTCATTTCGGGCTATACATGCTTTATTGTTCCGTGGGTCTCTCTACTGCTCCCCTCTTGGTTTTAGTCTCCTACCTCAAGTTCAGCACGCAGTTTGGAGCTGTGAACAACTATTAGATTTCGGCAAATTTGAGCAATCAGAGGTGTTGCCAAAATAGAACTTTAGATATTCCACAGACGGAGAGCCCCCACCTGGGAATCTCTGTACCTACGGAGCAGGCAATAGGGAGCCAACTGCATTTTTGAATCTTAGAACTAGAAGAGTCACTAGAGATCTCCTATTCTATGCCTTTCAAACTGTTTATAGTTAGGTAGTTTGTTTTAGCGTAGACTCCTTCTATCAAATGAAGATTTATGCAAAATATAAGACGGGGATTGTGGCCAGCCTCTCTTCTTTGCCCTCCATGACAGACTCCTAAGGCATATTGATCCAGTCTTTTTAACTTTTAGACGACAAACTGAAGCTCAAATAATATGAATTCCTTCCTTTTTCTGTTTTTACAGTAAACTCTTTATAAGAGCGGTAAGAGGGGAACGATGTCGGTAATGAGGCATCTTCATTTGCTGTGACACATGTTGTCGGTGTCTGGTTGGCTGAGGGGGTGTGGGGCAGTGCCTGTAAAGGGACATGGGTAAGACCCTAACTGGGGTCTTGCCTCAACTCTTGCTCCCTGGTCATGTTCTCAGCACGAATAAATGAGCCACTGACAAAGCAGCCCAGGATTGCAGGAACCTTGTGTTCTCACTTGTGGCTAATTTTTGTTTTAGTTTTCTTTCAGAGTGTTTTGTGGCCTTTGTGGTCACCCAAATGGCAGCCAGCAGCACCGTTAGCTTAGACTGCTGGTTTGCTTAGCTTCTGCGAGGCTGCACCCGCCCAAGAGCACTTTGCTGGGGAGGAATTTGCCTAAAAAGAATTTCAGAACCAGCTTTTGTTACTTAGGGAGAAGATGGTGCTCGTCCTTCTAGTCTACCCTTAACTGGCCTTTCTTTTTCCTGGCAGGACAAGGTATTCATTCTACTGAGTGGGATTCCACAGATTTACACATCTGAGGCTATTTCAAAAAATATTTATTTTACTCCCACCACCACCTTTTAATTTAAGACCTAGCACACATTTCCTGTATCCCAAGGGCACCTATTATCATTTAAAATAGCAAACATAAGTTTTAGGAGCAGAGGGCAAAGCAGATAGCTCCCTCCTGTCTTTACATCCCTCCCCAGCACTTTGGGGTAGGATTCTTTGTTTGGGATGTTGGAAAGTAGCACAGGAGGGGAAAGTGGTTGGGCTGACCGGGTTGAATCATTTTTAGAGTCATCACTGCTGATTTCTCTATGCTGCCAGGGACTGTGAAACCCATTTGAGACACCTCTTTGGAAAGTGGTCTCCCTTCCTGCCTGTACTATCAGTTATCTTATTATACTTTTCAATATGAAAAATCCCACTCTGTCTTCTTCCTCCATCCTTATGCCATGGTTCTGCCCCCAGTCCAAGCCTGTAGCATTTGCTGTGAAGACGAACGTGAGCTACTGTGGCGCCTTGGATGAGGATGTGCCTGTTCCGAGCACGGCCATTTCCTTTGATGCCAAGGACTTTCTCCACATTAAAGAGGTAAACGTAGGACTCTCTGCATCCCTTAACCTGCCATAAGGCGAGAGCCGGGATCGGCTCTGAACCAAACTGAACCAAGAGGAGCCCTGAGGAGCTGTCAGTGTGTTACCTCATTTAATTTGCGGGGCTTTCCAAATCCATTGATCCTCACTGAGATTTAGAAGACTGAGGTCGTTGCTTGCACGATCACACATTTAAAGCATTGGATCACCATCATCATAGGGTGGATTTAGGACAGAACTGTGGTCCCCTGGTCACCTTTTAATCACCTTGCACGACTGCAGAGCCACAGGTCTGTGGATCCAACTTAGGGAAACATGAGTTTGGTAGCATGGCACCTACCCATGAGGGACCGTTTACAAGCGATATTGTGATTATAAATATCTCTGCGGTAATCCTGTGGACCTCGACCTTGGAACCAACGCTAGAGAGTATAATTGATAATTAAAGTGTTAAAGCTAAGAAGAAGGCAGAGGACTTTGGGAAACAGAAAGCTTAAGGGATCAAGAGGTACAGGGAGGACCTGAGGCCTTGCAACTTGAAAGGTGGAATGATGACATCAAAAACTTTCATTTCGTCAACCTAAATTGAAATCCTACTTCATCTCAGACATTGTGCTGGGCATCGAGAGATAGAGATAAAAGCACACTGTCCCCGCTGCCCGGGACCTCTGAGTCTGGGGGGAAATGCTGGCAGTGCCTAGTTTCTGCCCTGGATTGTTCTATTGTAGAAAAATCGAATAGTTGTTGTGGGAACCTGAAGAAAGAGCAGGAGGGACCAAGTGGCTGGGGAAAGGAGGGTCGGGGGCTGGGAGCTCTACAGAAATGGTGAAGCCTGAGGGAGTTCAGGCTGGCTGGGTGTGGGGGTGGATCAGGTGGAAGGAACAGCCAGGAGCAGTGCAGCCCGGCTGGAGGGTGAGAGGTAGGGAGTGGTCCAGGGGATGGGCCAGGTCACAGAGGCAGGGGCCTGATAAGAAACGACCTCTTTGGCCCTCCCAAGAAGCCTGGACTTTGTCACCAGGCAGTGGGGCTGGAGAGGAATTTTAAATACTAGACAGGTGCCACCAGCCTTGTGTCTTAGCATAGTAACTCTGATGGTCGAGGCAGTGTTGCAGAGGCTGGACCGAGATTGCAGCAGAGAGGCTGGAGAGAAGGATCAGCTTGGAGGGAGCGTGAAGAGGCAGACAGACAGCACTGGGAGATTTCACATGCGCGGGGCTAGTGGAGAAAGTGAAATAGAAAGAGAGGAAGGATAGAGAAAGGCCAGTTTTACAGCTCACTAGAAAGGGTAGAGGGTGGTGTCAGCTTGCAAAATAAAGAAGGCAGGGGGGCGGTGGGGGGGTGAGCGGGTGGGAGGATGAAGAGCGCAGGGAGGGGACAAGCCTTGCTGCAAGATGGATGTGGTTGTGAATTGGCTTTTAGGTACACCGTGTCTGGGGTGCTGGGAAAGCCCCGTGAAGACACTTAACAGGCCTTTACCCACATAACCTGGAGGCCAGAGGAGAGGAATTGCAATTTGCTCCTCCTAAAAGCGTTGAGTTGAAAAGGGGAATGCACTGTAGCCAGAAAAAGTTAGTATAGAATCGAGGGAGTGTTTTTAAATGTTTATTTGCTTTTTTATTTTTCGAAGATAGGAAAGATTGCAGCATGTTGTCCATGCGGAGCTGTTGAACCCAGCGAAATATATGGGAAGGATCGCAGACTGAGTGAAGGGCTGGAGTAGAGGGGAGGGACGGCATCTGGAAGATGGACACAAGGATTGGGCAGAGTCAGGAGCACAGACTTGCCTGCCTTGTTCTGCAAGGAACTTCCCGACGGGGCCGGCGGCATATACTGGCAGAGTGGGCAAGCCCTCATGCCCCTCTAAAAAAGAGAGTGGGACAGTAAAGTGAAACCGGAGGCAGTGTGGTCAATAAAAACCCATCACTCAGGGGCGCCTGGGTGGCTCAGTCGTTAAGCGTCTGCCTTCTGCTCAGGTCATGATCCGGGGTCCTGAGACCGGGCCCCTCACCAGGCTCCCAGCTCGGCGGGGAGCCTGCCTCTCCCTCTCCCTCGGCCTGACACTCCCCCTGCTTCCCCTGCTTGTGCTCTCTTTCTCTGACAAATAAAATCTTAAAAAAAAAAAGGAAAAAAGATCACTCCACATCACTGAAATACCTGCACTTACCCCCCAGTCTAAAATGAGATGCACGTGGTAAATATATAACAATTTTGCAAATCATTGTCTTTGAAGCTCTGCATTCTATAATGGCATTAGTGACACCGAGACATATACATAGTTTTAACACTTTACTTGATAGCAAGGAGGTTAAACATCTGGATGTCCACAGATGTCTGTCTTTGCATTGTGCCCATCTGAGCTGGGTGAGGCTCTATCTACATTTGTTCCTTTGTTCAGGTATTCATTCAAGATACAGTTCTTGAACATTTGTGTTCAAGTATGTGCCAGGCCCTGGCAGATGTTGTCTGATAGCTATCAACAAAGCAGACAGATTCCCTCCCCTCGTGGACTGAAATTCTAGTGGGTAGACAGATCATGAAGAAATAAATAATTCCAAATTGTGAATGCCTTGGGGGGAAAAATGAAGCAGATGCTAAAAAACTTAAAACGTAGGGATGAGGGGTGTTATATATACTTTTTAATACAGGGGTGATCAGACAAGGCCTTTTGGACAGTGTGACCTCTAAGTAGACACTTGAAAGATGAAGAGGAGCCAACCTTAAAAAGAGCAAGAGGAGGTCTTCTAGGGAGAGGAAGCACCATGTGCAAAGGCCCTGCGGTAGGAGAAAAACCTGGGCACAATCAGTTAACTAGAAGAAAGCCATATGGCTGTAATGCAGTGAGCCAGGGACCTAGTAGCAGGAGATAGTCGTAGAAGTAAGCGGGGCACAGGTCAAAGAGGACCTTAAAGTGATGATGAGACTTTAGATTTTATTCTGAGTGCAGTAAGAAGCCATTGAAGACTTTAAAAGCAAAGGAGTGGGATGACTTTATTATTTTTTTAAAGGCTACTCTGATTGTTGTGGAGACCATGGATTGGGGTGGGGTAAGTATGGAATCAGGGAGACCATTAGAACCATTCTAACGGAACTGAGCCCGCATGGCAGCAGTGAGATGGAAAGAAGTAGACAGATTTGAGATCTTTTGAAGACATTCAGTGAAGAGTGGTGGTGATGGACCAGGTGAAGAAACTAAGAGTGAGGGAGAAATCACGCATGACCAAGGAAGTCAAGGTTTGTGAATTGAGCAATGGGGATGGAGAAGACTAAGGTGGGGAAAGGACAGATAGGGAGGGGACATCTCAAAGGACATATCAAGTAGAAGTTAGTATAAGAATTTGGAACTTCGAGGAAAGGGTTGGGCCAAAGATGTCATTTTAGGTCATTAGTTCATGTGTGGCATTTAAAGCTGTGTTAATGATCGAAGTCACCTAAAGAGGGAGTAGAGGGAGAAGAGAAGGCAGCCCGACATCAAACCCAAAGGAATCCATCCTGCAGCGGTGGGCTACGTGAAATGACTCAACAAATGAGGAAATGGAACAGGAGAAGCCTGACATGCAGGAGGAAAACCAGAACAGGGTGATGCATGGGCATCAAGAGAGGAGTGTGTCCCAAAGGAGGAAATGAATGCTGTGGTGAATCCTCTTGACACGTCCCCTAAGATGAGGAGTGAGGGATGGACGTTGGGTTGGCAACATGGTGGTCAGCGGCACCGAAGTCATTGGGACAATTGTCTGGAAGCCAAATGAAGGGGGATGAGGAGAGCAGGGGAGTTAGGAAGTATGTTTAGCTAGTATAGAGCATGCTTTCAAGGAAGTTGACACTGACCAGGTAGTAGACTGAGGAGGATGTGAAGTCAAAAGTTTTCTTTCGAGATGGGAGCTCCTGCAGGACCTGCACGTACTGATATTAACAGAGAGAGGGAGAGGTTGATGGGAAAGGAAAGAGGCAGAGGAGTACGGTTTTGAGTAGGCAAGAAGGGTGAAATCCAGACCCCCAAGTTGGGGGGGGTAAGATTTTATGATAGGAAGGGGACCACTTACTCACTGTAACATGCTGGCAGAGGGTGGGTGCAGACACGTGGTTCAGAGCCTTGCTAACCGGAAGCTGGGGTAGCAAAGACTTTAAGGATTTCCATGTCCTCAAGGTGTATGAGGTGAGGATATCCACATGTGCCTGGTAAGCAAGGACCCCAAGCCTGAACCATGTGCCCCAGCATCTGAATGGTTAAGTGGATTGTCTCACCATTTCCATCAAAAATGACCAAACCCTATTCATTAGTTGCTAACACCCATTGTTTCCAAGGAGAAGCAGAACTCTAAAAGGTAAGAGAAGTTCTCACAGATTTTATGTACACCCACTCACACCCACATTCCAACCTTGCTGTATGTTAATGCTTTCCTCCATTCCATCAGTATTCTCAATTTGTCCTGTTGGTTGCTTTTTGATTTATATGTTCCTTGATCAGTGACTTTCTTGTCAGACGGGCAGTTTGATGTATGGTATTGAGCTGGTAATCCTACGTGGATTAGAGCCACTTGTTTTCAGATCTTGAAATATCCGATAAGAAAACATCCTAGAAAGAGAAAGTGCTAATCCTGTTCAGGAAATGAGAATGAGAGGCATTGGAGCAACACCGAGGTGACCTCCCCAGAACCCCTCGCATGAGCTTCTGGAGCGTCCGCGCAGACGAACACATTTCTGTAATCAAGTTGTCGCCTCCCCTGTCCTCTCTCATCTAGACGGCCATCTCTTATGCACGGCTTTAAGCACTTTTTCAGTAATGAGAAGCTTAAACTCGGAGAAAAGCTGCAGCTCTGCTTATCACATTCACCAAATGACGAGCGTGTGAAGGAAGCTCTTGAGTCTATGTGGCAACTTCCTGCCGGGTAGTCAGAGAACTGTCATTTACATTGAGCCAGATTCTCACTGAGCTTTAGCTGCTTCCTACAACGAAGCTAAAACAGATTGGGAAGTTGCCATGAACCATTTCTGGAAGCCCTTTAAGGTCGCTTGGGTACCGTTTAATAAATTAGTGTTCCAGGGGGCTAACTTACGGTTCAGGAAGTAACTTACACCCTAGGGCACTCTGATTCATAGTCTGCTTTGTCCCCTCCACAAGAAGATTTACATTCCAGACCTGTGCACCAAAGACTCTAACAGGGCCTCCTTGCCTTTTTTTGATTCCAAAATAAACAGGCCTGTTATTTCAGGCCTGTTATCCTGAAATACAGGATGGGAAGATGGGAAAAAATCAAGATTTCGATTGTTCAAGATTTTATATGAGGTCAACTCACATTTCTTTTTTTTTTTTTTAAGATTTTATTTGTTTATTTGTCAGAGAGAGCGAGCACAAGCAGGGGAAGCAGGGGGAGCGGCAGGCCAAGGGAGAGGGAGAAGCAGGCTCCCCGCTGAGCAGGGAGCCCGGTGCAGGACTTAATCCCAGGACCCTGGGACCATGACCTGAGCCAAAGGCAGACGCTTAATGGGCTGAGCCACCCAGGTGTCCCCCTCAACCCATATTCCTGAAGTGCAGTCTCATACTATGTGCCATGCCTCGTGCAGGAGCTGTGTGCATAATCAAGGCCAAATCCCTAAGCCATATCGTTTTGCTTTTGAGTGTGAGGCTGATGCTGAGAATTACTCACAGCTATGCAGAATTTCATGCTGCAGTGAGTTAATGAAACCATCCATTTCTCCTTCACAATGTGTCAGTGTCGTATACATATAAATTTCACTTTTCTCTGAGCTAAGCAAAGTATACTACATATAGTTTTTCATTTCGGAAAAAAAAAATCCAGATACTTCTTGGATCAATGAGAGAGAGTTACCTTGCCTAACACTGATGAAGACAAAGTTTTTGGCATCATCTCTGGAGGATGTAAACAATAGGACTGATACCTGCTTTCTAAAAATCACCTACCTGAAACCTTCCCTTGGGACAGGTGGCTTGGATTAAACATGCCTTCTGATCTAGGCTTCAGCAAATCTGTAATTACAAATGTATTTTGCTCACCCACTGAATAGGATCATGTTCACAGAGTCTTACCCCATATTGGCTGAAGCCTTTGCGTGGATTTATTTTCTGATTTTATGTGTCACGGAACTTTATGTAAATGGAAGTCCTGGTTCCTATTGGACTTCAGGCCATTTGGAGATTATTTCAAAAATGCCACATACATACAATATGCTTAACCTTTGTAAGAGTAGGCAGGCTTCTTATTCATCAGGTAATGAGATGGATCTGAATTTGTAAACCGATATTTGGAAGATTACAATTCTCCAATGACAGTAGATTACAGACAATATCATGGAATCTTTACCGGAAAGCTTTTGACAAATAACTGATAGTTTAATGTATTTCATCTCAGATTTGTCTGTCTTGTTCTCCAGGGTTCCAGTTGCACTGATGCATAGTTTTCCCTCTAAAATCTATTTCTTAAGAACTGGTTAGGGCTTCTTGACAAGGACCAAAGGAATCCAAAGGTTAGGACCCAGCGTTAGTCCAGGAATTGGCAAACTGTGGCGTGCAGGCTGATTCCAGTCTGCAGTCTTTTTTTTAGAAAGAAAAGGCTAACTGAAACAGAGCCATGCTCACTTTTTTATGTATTGTCTATGGCCACGTGCATTTGACAGTAGCAGATGTAAGAAGTTGCAACGGAGACCACGAGGCCTGCAAAACGTAAAGTATTTACTATCTGGGCCATTAGGTAAAAAGTTTGCAGACTTTGGCTTTAGTCTATGGACGCTTGGATATATATAACATAGTATGATATAATATAAATAGGGTTTATATGCAATATAGTATAATATAAACAGTATTTGGTTCTTCTGGTCCTCAGAAATTAATTAATGGGATGTGAAGATAAGTGAATTACTACTGATAGCAGTTTTATATCTGCATTCCAGAAATATAACAATGATTGGTGGATAGGAAGGCTGGTGAAAGAGGGCTGTGAGATCGGCTTCATCCCAAGTCCGCTTAGACTGGAGAACATACGGATTCAGCAAGAACAAAAAAGGGGACGTTTTCACGGAGGGTAAGTCTCCTTTGTTTCTATAAACTTATTTGGGGAGGTGGGTAGAAAAATAAGATGATGTTTTCCAGTCTGCTTATTAGGTTAAAAATGTATGCCTTTGGAGTAAAATATACTTGTCTGTGTCTGAGGCATTTCTGAAATTGACACAGAGGGGTTTCAGAGAGTTCACTCTCCCCACTACATGCTCGAGCCTCACATCACGGACATCAACACGAGTTCCACAGTGGAGATTTTTCTGTGGCCTCAGCAAACCTTCCTTGGAAATTAAGCTCTCCTCCACAAGTCATATGAGGCCTTCTTTCTCAGTACAGGTGGGAACCTGGCCTGACCCGGCATCAGGGCCCTTCCTGGTTAACTCTCAGAGACCCCCTTTCAAGTGGGTGTGGAATGCATTGGTACACGTGCCACGGTCCCGGCTCTAGAAACGCCTTTCTCCACCCAGGACATCTGCCATCTCTTGGTAATGGGATGGAGACACCGTCTAACTTGGGATGAATCTACCTCTAGTGAACTAATGAAACAGCCCACAAAACTCTCAGACTGCAGGTATTCGTAGATCCCAGGGATGCACGCAAAAGCCTGAGAAAAGAGAAATCAGAACCATACTGAGCCTGCGTATATGGTGGACCTACACTGAAGCATGAATTTGATATGTATTATCATTTTTTGAAAGACCTAAAATAGAAGCAGTTCTTTCTCTTGACTCTCAACTTTTTCTGTTGGATCCTTTTCTGCTTCAGAAACTCCTCTGTTCTTTAGGGGTCCTTTTGCCTTTGTCTTAATGGGAACTTTTTAAACAGTGATAAGATATTCCAAAAGTACAGTCAGCCCCACTTTTTTTAATTTTAATTTTTAATTTTTTTTAAGTAGGCTTCATGCCCATCATAGAGCCCAAAGTGGGGCTTGAACTCATGACCCTGAGATCAAGAACTGAGCTGAGAGCAAGAGACACTTAACCAACTGATCCATTCAGGTGCCCCCACCCAACTTTTAATTATAAATCTTTTTTAGTATCTAACATGCCTACAGTATTATTGATTTTTAATTCTTCTAATTTCCTCCTCTTGACTGTTTATCTCTTGCTGCTCCTTAAACAAATCAAGAACATATGTTCCTACCTCAGGACCTTTGCACTTACTAGTTTCTTCTTACTGGAGCCCTTTCTTCATATTTCCACCAGCTCACTCCTTCATCTGCTTCAGATCTTTGTTAAATATCACCTTTTCACTGACCTCTTTCTGGCCACCATCTTTAAAATTGTACCCTCTTCCCTTCCTTTATTTCCTATCTCTCTCCTGACTTAGTTTCCTCCATTGCACTTATTACTGTCAGAAATACTATGTATTTACCTGTTCATCTGTTTGATAGTGATATCTCCTGCTAAAATCTGTCTCTGTAAGGAAGGGACTTTGTCTTTTTCCCCTACTGTTGTGTTCCTAGTTTCTAGAACAGTGGATACTCAATAAATATTTGTTGAATGAAATAATAAATGTATTATTATCATTTCCAAAGTTGTTATTTTATTATTATTATTTCATAATGTTATTATGTACTGGGAACCCTGGGTGGCTCAGTCATTTAAGTGTCCGACTCTTGATTTCGGCTCAGGTGATGATCTCGGGATTGTGAGATCGACCTCGTGTTGGAGCCTGCCTGAGATCCTCTCTCTCCCTCTGCTCCTACCCCTGCTCCCACTCTCTCTCTCTAAAATAAATGAATAAAATCTTTAAAAACAATAATGTTATTATGTACTTTTGAACTAAAAGAGTAAAACCAAGAGCTCACTTTCTTTATACCAACTCTATGAGGTGTAACCTCTTCTATACATAGGGAAACGGATGCTCAAAGACATGAAATATAATATGCCAAGGTCCTCTAACTAGTAAATGGCAAAGCCAGGGTGAGAATTGGGATTGTTCTGACCTAGGGACGATACTCTCAAGCACTGAGAGGGAAGAACACTGGAGAAATAGGAAGGTGGGTTCCCAAGGGCCTCTGAGGGCTCCTGGGAAACTTCCAAAGCCACATGAGGAGACCAATGGAACAATCTTCCACTCTAGGTCACAAATAATATTATTATTATATTGTTACCATCTTCTTGTAATTTTGACTCCCATATAATTACTTTTTTAAAAAAGATTTTATTTTATTTATTTGACAGAGATAAAGAGTGAGCACAAGCAAGGGGAGTGGCAGGCAGAAGGAGAGGGAGAAGCAGGCTCCCCACTGAGCAGGGAGCCGGACTTGAGGCTGGATCCCAGGATCCTGGGGTCATGATCTGAGCAGAAGGCAGACACTTAACCAACTGAGCCCCCCAGGCACCCCATCATATAATCACTTTTTAAAAAGAAATGCTTCTTCTAGCTCTTACAGCTTGTTTTGAGCTATGTTTGACATCCAACTGATGCATCCAACTGGTGACTGGTATTAGTTAAGCATCAGTTCACAAGAGTGGTTCTGTCCTTGACTTTTCTGCCTAATTTCTGCATTGAATGACTAGGAGAGATACTTTTGCAAAGTATTTCCAGGTCCCAGTTAGTTCCCCACCTTCTCTGAGAAATAATAGGTCAAAGAAAACATTTGGACAGAATCTTCAAGTTCTTCTCCAAAGCAGGATTTTGTGTTTTGAATTATTCAGCAGGATTTAGGCCAAAGAAGGCTTTGTACTCTCAGGTTCTATTTGCAAGGAATCTGGGGAATGAGTCCTAAGTTCCTTTTCTATATACTAGGAAATCCAGTGGAAACTCTTCTTCAAGTCTTGGAGAAATGGTATCAGGGACATTTCGAGCAACACCCACATCAACAGGTGAGGGTTTTAGTTTAACTCTTTTTAATGGAATGTTTTTCTTTCTTAATATTTGAACATACAGAAAGTATTTTTACTGATTTGGAAACAATTTAAAGCCTTGATTTAAGAGATTCTTCTACTTAATATTTCATTGCTCATTTGCTTTCTATAGTAATTTGATTCTATTTGAAGGGTACTTATTATACTAAAAACTCAGAGCATTGTAGTCTAATTTTGAAAAATCTTATTTACCCCCCAGAGCCAGTAACTGTCCATTGTGCAGTTCAATCTGAAGCAAGTTCATTATTCCACCCAAGAAACCAACAGACTTTAAGATGGTGAAGGCCAATTAAAAAGAAAAAAAAAAAAAGGTGTAGACTCTCAAGAAAATGCTCTGTTCCAGTCTCCATGTGGAACTTTAGGATGGTACAGCCTGGGCTGTGGAGATTGGGAGGGTTGAAACAGAGAATGGGCCTGGATGACCTCATTTCTATTTGGACAGCAGATAACCGAGCCCTGGAATTAATGGAAATGAAGGGATAGTGGTGGTCCAACCAGGAGCTGTTATATATTTGGTAATTATGGAGGTATTCAAGAAGGAATTTTTCTTCTACCACATTCTCTGACTCCTGTAGTCTAATTTGTGCTGGCCCAGAATTGATGCTGATTAAGGCATCAGGTATTACCAACTCAGAAGGACAAGTTACCATAACTGCAGTAAACGTGATTGGTTCTGGGGTAGTTCTGAGTACTGGGTTCTTGTTGGTGTGGATCCTTCCTGATCTCCCGGTCTCTGAACCGAACTAGGTCTCTGAGTTGTCCCCAAATGGACTGGACCTACTTGGATGACCACAAAACCAGTTTAATCAGATATCGAAATATTTTGCTTCATCCCCATTTATTGGACATTTAGGTCATTGTAGCTTTGCACTATTGCAAAAAAGAACAGGAATAACTGGTTACAAATTTATTTGAAATTAACAACAACATAGTAGGAAAAATGTGTCAGTATCCTGGAAAGTAGGCAGAAAACTTATGCATACATAAAGGACTGCAAAATTTTCTCATGGTTCACCAAAATTACAAATCCAAAACTAGTGATGGAGGTGAGGATCATTTTTACCCAAATTGTTATTCTTAGTTCCTTTTTATGAAATTTTATTTGTCCACGTTGTTCTCAGCTACACTGTATGCTGTGTCCAGCAGGGAACATCCTATAGCCCATGGCTGGCCCAGAACTTCCGGTGTTGTTATGAAGCGCACCCTCCACACCCATCATGAAATCAGGATATAAGGTCATTCGTACAAGGAGGAAACTGTCTGGGTTTTTTTTTTTTTTTATTTTTCTGTCATTTTTCTTCAAAATTGTCTTGTCCAGAATGAAATAATAGAGTAGTGTTCTGCAGAGTGGGTAATTGTGAGATGATGAGAATTATAGGGACAAATTGGTACATTCTTCCATCTTTTAAAATCATGTACTATCATTTACAGAGATTACATATTTTGATATGGCTCTCATTGTTGTCTTTTAGCAAAACAGAAGCAAAAAGTGGTAAGTTGTGTTTCCTTTTTAAATCTACTGTTCAGGTTTCTATCCATACATGCCTGCAATGCTCCATTTCAGTGACCCAAATGGCTATAAAATAAGGGATGAGCCTCCTTGGTGGGGACCTGTGGTAATCATTTCTCGTTTGACCTGAGAATTATGAATTCTGTGGCTGTTGAGGAGGTGTGCTTAGTCTCACCTTGTCATGCATGTCAAATCATCTTTTTCAGACGGAGCACATTCCTCCTTACGATGTTGTGCCATCCATGCGTCCGGTGGTGTTAGTGGGGCCGTCACTGAAGGGTTATGAGGTACAAATACCAGTCTGTTATGCTTCAGTTCTTGATCAAGAACCTAAGAGACAGCTGTTGGGAGCTTGCTCCTCCAGGGTCTGCTTACATATAGGTACTGATGGAGCCAAGTTGCCTCCTGTGAAGGCAGGTGACATGGTATGGGGCTTATGTGACCCTTCACTCTTGCTTCCTTCTCTGGCACACTTCTCACCTTACATATATCTCTTTGTTTGGGAAATATATCCTGTAAAACATTTATAATGAAAAATTCTGGTCAGCGGTTTGCTCTGCATTAAATTCAAAGTGAAGGACTTTATCTGTCTCAACCATTCTATTACTATTAGAAATAATCAAGTATGGGGGCACCTGGCTGGCTCAGTGGTAGAGCATGCAACTCTTGATCTCTGGGTCATGAGTTCAAGCCCCACGTTGGGCGTAGAGCTTACTTAAAAAAAATTAAAAATAGAGAAATAATTGAGTATAAACAGCACAAGAGAACATATGCTAGCAAACCTAAACCCTCAAAGCACCAACAAATCTCACCTTGCTGGGTGCTCAAGATGATGACCTATTCCACGAAGTATTTCTGGCGCTTTCTCTGCTTATTTATTTTAAGGACACAGAAGGAAAAAACCTCCCCTGAAAGTATTAATGAACTTGTTCAGAGATTAAACAATACCATGTAAGAAGGAAAAGAGTAAAGACTTAGATGTCCTACATTTCAGATGTCGCCGTTCTGACTCTGTGCTAGCATAGATAAGAATAGGTGGGGTGGGACATTAAAATCGAAGGTGGGCAACCTCCAGGGTACTGCCATTCCCACTGAGCTAGGACAATATCTGGCCCATAGTAGTTACTGAATACACATTGATGGAATGAATTAATCTCTTTGAGGCAGATCTAAGAATCTCATCCCCTTTTGTTTCTCCCCTTCTCCTCCCCCCTGCCTGGCTCCCTCCCTTCTCTCTCCATCCCCTTCACTTCTCAGTGGGGAATGTCAGAGGAAGAGCAGGAGAGTGATCTATAGAAATGGAAAATTTCTACCAAGAAGCAGGTGGCTAAGTCCAGGGCTGGCCCAAGGAGCTCTAGCTGCTCCTCCTTGGAGGCAGGCACCACTCGGGGGAGCCAAGGACAGGCAGCACTTGAGAGTAAAGCCAGCCTATTGTGGTCTCTTGGCTGCAGTCCTATCACCTAAGAAGGGAAGGGGTCTAGTGTGCTACAGACCTAGACCTAGGGGTCTAGGCCTTGGGTCTAGTGAACACTGCTGGTTCCTTCCTCAGCACCCTAGAGGACAACCAAGGGGGCAATCGGAGTAACTGTAAGTGGTTATGCGTGAAACATGCCCCCCCCACGGTACCCTCCCCCACCCCTTGGAGACAACAGGCTGTGTGAGGTCTTTGCTCAAAGTGCCCTTCCCTCCCACCTCTCTCACCTTTGACCTCTTGCGCTCTGTCTCTGCGTGTGTTTGCCTCATTCTTTTTTTCTCACCTCTGCCAAGGTAACAGACATGATGCAGAAAGCCCTCTTTGATTTCCTGAAGCACAGGTTTGATGGGAGGTGAGACATACAGATGTTTTTGTATTTTTATTTTCCTTTAACTGAGCATGTATGACAAATTGATTTGTGGATCTGTTTCCAGTGATTGCGGAAGTTCTCTAATTAAAAGTTAACTCAGTATTCAGGGAAGAATACAATGAAAGAATTCTGAAGATATGAAGTTATGAAGTATAGCATTGAATCCCCAAGGGAGAAAGGACCTTGAGAAGGAAAATAATCCATTTGTTTTAAGCAAATGTATGTGTTTGTCTTTATTTCCTTGCTTGTTAGTGAATTCATATCAAACTTATTTTACGAAAAATCTTGGTGAAAATATAGATTGTTTCTGACAAATGTGGTGGCTCGCTGGGAACTGTGTATGCATGTGTGTGTGTATGTGTGTGTATGCACGTGTATGTATGTGTGTGTGTGCACGTGTATATATGCGTGTGCATGCACGTGTATGTGTGTGTATGCATGCACGCATGCGTGTATGTGCATGTGTGTATGTGTGTGCACATGTGTGTGTGCATGTGTGTGTGTACATACGAAGGTATAAAGTACTGAGTTTCCTCAAAAGAAGAGTGCAAGGAATGTTTTCATCATAAGCTTCCCAAAGTGACTATTTATAGGGAAGAGTACTTGTTTGGATGCTTAGTTCTGGGTTTATTTTACCAAGAAATCACCTTGTATTTTGTTGATATATTTTGTATGTATCCTGTGATTAACATGGCTCAGTCTTTAGGAATCAAATAATTTTATCATATAAGATTTGTGAAAAATGTCTAAAAGAGTTTCTGTGTTTTGGAGAGAAATGGTAAAAAGTCCATATCGGCTCAATACTAAGTACTAAGCTCCCTCACAATGCAGAATGCATTCCTTGTAAAAATAACCACATTGCAAATACTGAAGACTTAAGAGAAATGAAGAAAATGTACATAGTGTGTACTGAGAAGTATGGGTACATGCATCCAACTACCAAATATTTTTTTAAAAAGGCTTCAAATAGGTTTTTTTTTAAATATGGTATTTTAAGGGAAAAAGTAAACATAATAATGCTTTAAGTACAAACTGTGTATATTTGTCAAAAGAAAAGCCTGGGTAATTGTGTTTAAAATATTCATTAGTTTCTGGGACTACATACAAAGAAACTGAGATTTCGGTTCCAATAATTGAGATTTTAGTTCAAGGAATCAGAATGCTTCAGTGCCCTTATGTGAATGGCTGGGTACATTACTAGAATGCCAGGCTACCTTAATAAATAGACCCCAAAATGTATAATGATTCAGACACAATGGGAGCTTACTGTTGCTCATTTAACAGTATGAGACAGGCATTCCTCAGCTACGCGGAGGGGGTTATACTGGGGAGGGGAGGATGGACAGAAAGCTTGTTCCACCCATCATTTGGGGGTCCTTGGCCTGAGGGTGGTCTCTCCAGTCAGCTGGTGGGGAGAGGTGCATGCCAGCCTGGAGGTGATGCACAGGGGCCCTCACTTTTCACTGGTCAGAACCTGGTCATGTGGCCATGCTGAATTGCAAAGCAGGCTGGGAAATGTAGTATAGCTACGTGACCAGGAGGAGAAGGAAATAGATTTTGTGGAACAAATAACCGTCTGTGCCACGTTCATCTAGTGGACACAAGACACTAAGAAAGCCATGGGTTTATCCTGTTCTTCACCCCCACTTTTCTTAAAGAAGATAAGTAGAGAATGAAGTAGTTTCAAACAAATGAAAAGCACTGAACATTAGAGTTGGGTGGAAATGTAAAAGTTCTTTTATTGTAATCTCTCTTCTTCAGCAACTACAAACAGATGGATAAACTGCTTCTGTTTGAGAATGTTTGGTTATTGGGATTTCACTTCTTGAAAAAGCATTGCAAAGAATGGCTGAACTCTGACTCTTTAACTTGATGGCAGTGGCCTTGGTTGGTCTTGCCCGCTGATGACTGGGCCATAACCCTTACCTCATGCAGCAGTCTGTGGATTGGAGGCAGCTAACATGCATGGCTTAGTCTTCTGTGTTATCGGCCACACGCACAAACATTTCCTCTAGCTATGCTTAAAGTTGCATGGTTTTAACCTGTGGTGTCTTTACCGAAGAAAGTTCTGAGCAGCGCGACCCCATAACAGCCCTTGAGCTAAACAAATCCCATCCCATAACACAGCCTGTTTGTGTCAGATTGTTTCTGTCACCACATAGCATCCTTATAAACAACGTTTTTAATGGTCTGAAAGGTAGGACCTATGGGACTAGAAGAAGGGAACTATTAGAATTTAACAAAGAGAAAGTGCGTGGCTTAATTATTTCAGGAATGAAGCATCTGAGGTTCTTCTTCAATTTTCAGGCCCAGAAAGAGGAAGTGCATTTGATGGTAACAGCAGAGATTTGTTTTGAGTCGGGTGGAGTTGCTGCATCAAGCATTTACACACACTGTTGAAGACGGTTTTAGTAAAAATAGAATTAAAATGTCAATGCCAAGTGTTCCATACAGTCTGATGGCACAGCAGACGATCCAGAGATAGGAGGAAGATTCAAAGAGCAGCAAAAGTAATAGCCAGACAAAGAGACCCAGCCCTGGAGAGCTCTGATTTATGGCAGAGTTGGGAAAAGATAGATGGTAAAGGTGGGAAGCAGAGTGGACTTGCTTTTAAATCCTAAGAGGCCAGTGCAGCAGAAAAACCAGTAATGAATTCATTCACTGAGGGTATGTAGAGACTTTGATAAGGAAGAAGCAACGTGCTTGTAGCCTCACACTGACTCTGACACATCTGCTGTGTGGGAAATAGCCTTACATTTTGAGCTATGACAATCTGCCGTATTATGTTTTACCAATTAATAAAGGGAGAGAAAACAACAAATAGTCTTTAACTGAAACCAGCCAAGAGAACAGTTACACAGAAGGCTTTCGCACAGTGATACAGCATAAACAGTATGTTCTAATGGAAACCTACTCAGTGTTTAATTGGCTATGAATGCAGTAGGTTAGACAAAAGAAAGAGTCAAGGGAAAGTCTTACTATTTTTCAGAAAGAGCAAAAAAGGGACCCGTTGGCTAAGAGACTTTCTTCAGTACTGTTTTTCAGATCCCGGTTAGAAAATAATTCAACAGATTGGATTCAAGCCAACAGCTTGATTGTTACAAAATCATAGACTTGCCCCTTTTTTAATACCTCAGATTAATTGAGCTAGTTGAGAGCTACTACTACACAGTGTTATTGCTGTGGCTGTTACTGCAGGGCCAAACTGTAATACGTGTAAGAAAAAGAACAGCATGGTACTAACTAGTTCCCAGGGGATCTTTGTCCATATGGATATCCACACATAGTGACAGTTCCTATGCACAGATCATAAAGTAGGTGCATGGCATCAGCCCGGGGAACACACAGTGGCATGGGGCTTTTCTCTGTTCATTTTACACCACAAACATTCACTGGGGATTGTCCTTCAGGATGAGGTTTGTTTGACTGGTTGAATATACCATTCATAGTCTGAACGGCAGGCAGTCAAACCAACTGCCATTTGTTGACCTATGCTAATCATTTCAAATTCCAATAAAATTGTTGCTTTATGCATTTTGACAACTAGATCAGATCAACTCTATGGCAGTTGTCGAACACTTTGTAACCAACATGATCATGGCCAAAAATCCTAAATGAACATCATGTGGCCTGTATAGATAAGATCTAAAGTTAAAGGAAGTTGTTAGCCAAAGGCTACTCAAAGGAAAAAAAAAAAAGCGGTTTCAGAAAGAATTTGAAGAAAAGAGGCCCAGAATACAACTTAGGAGACTCAGAGAGGTAGTATTTATTTATAAACAGCAGTGGGCACACCTGATGCTATCATACAGGATCCAAGGCATGGCAGAATGAAAACAACTTGCAACTGCAGTCAACAAATGGAAAAGAACACAGTGCCTTCTGTTTCAAAATCAATATCACCCTCTTATCATCTCCTTCTACCATTCTCTCTTTAAATACAGACTCATCGGTGGTCAAACACTAGAGAAACATAATTGAATACTTGAATGCCAAACAGGCATTCAAATTATCAGGTTTTGATTACAACATGTCTGACCTGACTCTCTGACCCTCAAAGTATATATAAATTTCATGGACTCTGGGGGTGGGGAGTTCATGGTAGACTGCCAATTTCTGAGGATGGTATATAAAGAAACTGTCCCTTTCCAGTCTTCAAATCTCCAGTAATTGTCTTATGTACATTATGTCCTATCAACATAGGACACTATGAATAATTATTTAGTAAAGCATTTTTATCTATTACCTTGTTTGCTCCTCCGGACAGTCCCATGAGATAGTTTGGCAAAGCCGCTATCACCATTGTATTGATTAAGATACTGATGCTCAAAAGATGACATGACTTGTCTATGGTCACACACCCAGCAAGACCAAGATCCAGGAAGAATACTCAGATCTATGTATGCCCTCCATCCCAGTTCTCTTGACAGTATACTGTTCTGCTCTTTAGAATAGTCTTCTCTATGAATACTAGGAGTTTTTTTTTTAATTAATGCACTAACGGCATTGCTTATTAGATGTAGCCAAGATAGAGTATAGAAGGACCTTATAGCTGTTCTGAACGAACATGGAAATACTAATTGTTTTTGAATGAATGTGTTATAACTAAAAGTAGCATTTTTTTGCAGAAAACTAATACTCATAGGTCATGATAGAGTGCAGCAATTATAGTGAATTCCAAAACAGAAATAAAGAACAGTTGGGATTCAGATTTGCTTAGATTTAGAGAACATTTTTTGCTAGCTTTCAGTGATATTTGCTACTATACCCAGTTGGCTGAGGAACTGAACTTCTGTTAGTGTTCATCCACCAGTCAGTAATCACTGACACTATGTCACAGAAAAGTTTCCTAGGGGAACATTTAAAAGACATATGTCAAATAAGATGCACGGAAGTACTGAAAGACACTGGGAGGAATGAGTACAACAAGAAAAGAAGTAGAAAGGACATTGTAATAAGTAAAATAATAATAATAAATATATAACTAGTATATAAAGTATATTTTTAACATATATAAAACTAAAAAATGTATATAAACTTCAATTATATTGCTGAGAAGCCTTTTACAAAAAAAGAGTTTGGATTTGGTGTCTGATTTTGGTAATAGTAAGCATCTTTGTATGGAAAATAGAAACCTGTTTTTTCTTATTGAAGGGTTTCTGGGGCTGTGTCTGTCTTGTCCTGAGCTCTTTCATGCATGCATGTGTTCTATTATTAAGAAATAACTTGTAATAATACTTACCAAGCGGCCAAATTTTGTTTTCTGCTCGGGTTGTGATCTCAAGTGGGGTCCTGGGATCCAGCCCCATGATGGGCTTCACTCCTGGTGGGGTGACAGATTCTCTCTGTCCCTCTCCCTGCCGCCCCCCTCCCTGGTCCCTAAAATAAATAAATAAATTTTTTTTAAAAAAGATGTTTGAGAAATAACTTAGATTAACAAATCTGCTGGTATTTAGTTGTCACATAAAACAAGAAAAAGAACCCTATATTGTCCATACCTTTTCCTATTTGTGGAATATATGAAGCAGTTTTTTTTTCTGTGTATGTTTGTGTTATTGTTTTGTTTGCTTGCTTTTTGGTAGAACTTGTAAAAACTTGTAAAGCTCTGTGTGTGTTTGAAAATAGCTTCGTAAACATGTTTAAAATCCAGAAAAAATAAGAGTATGCACCTGTTGGTAATCCTTTCAAATTTTAAGAATCAAAGGTCACTATTTGGCTTGTATAGAACTAGAAAACTTCATCTCCCTTATGCAGAACGGACTTTTTAGGCCCTCCAAAACTCTTTATTCTAGAAAGTTGAGTTCTGTTCCTAAATGAACCCACTTCTTTCCAGTCATAGATTTGAATTGCTCTGGAACTTGACTCTGTGTTCCTAACCAGCAGCTCTATTCTTAAACAACAAACAGAAACACACAAATAAACCAGCAAACCCTATTCTGTAAATAAAGGAGCTGTGAGCACGGGACTGCCCATGAGATTTCATACCTTAAATTGCAAAGGCCTCCTGAGTAATGGAGACTGAGACATGAGATTCACTTGACTTTAACCTCATTGAAATCCTGACCACCTCTCTGCACATGGTCAAGGTCGACTGCATCTACGCTTGATGATTTGGCTTGCATCTGGGCATTCAGGGTTGCTAGAGAAGAAAACTGAAACTCTAAGAGACTTATGAGTCAGGTGACTAAGTCCTGGCCTGGTGTTTGTGGTCTGGCCTGGTCTGTGCTTTAGGCCTTCTTAGCCTCTCACTAATCATGTGGAACTTCCTCTCTGTGTCTCAGTTTTCTTGGCAAAATGAAGACGTTGTACTTGACCAGTGTTTTCCAATGTCTTTTAGCAGTTGAACAGCTTTTTACAATGAAATCATATATAAAGCCCCAATGTAGAAAACAGAAATGTGGAGGCGTTTGCCTGGCATGGATGGTAGGAACTCTGGTGCTCCGCCAACTCAGCTTCCCTTCAGTGTTCCCAATGGACTGAGGGTATTTCACAAAGCCCTTGGTTTCTGCAGAAGATAATTTGAAGATGCTTCACATAATTTATTAATGCTTAAAAATTCTAAAAAATGTGAAAATTTAAAACTTACCGACCATCTACATTTTATAAATACAATACAATGACACAAGAAGGTGCTTTGCGTTAAAATGGTATCAGAACTTTTGTACAGCCTGTTGCTTTAAAGAAGCAATTTCCATTCATTTGTGAAAAGGAGTATTTTATATTTTCCTTAAGGCTTTGGGTCACTGAAGTCAGGTGAAGAGTCTCCTGAGAGGGCTGATAGTATACTAAAACAAGTGTGAGGTGACATATGGCTCAATTACTATTCACAACTCTACCTCTTCCCTGCCCCAACCCCCAAAGGCATATAAAAATGAAGGAGAATGGGTGCACTACGCATAAAGGGAAGGAGCACTACTCTTTTGTCTCCTTTCTGGAACTCTGCCAAGCTCTGAAAATAAGAATGGAGAAAGGTCCTTTCCGTGGTGGCAATAACTGGCTTAGAGAGGCATTCTTTGCATTCTGCAGGTAGATAATCTGAAATTGATCAATGCCAGTTTAAAGTCAAGAATTTTAAAACTATAAATTCCAGAGATCCTTATGTGATCAATCATATGCAAATAGACTCCTCTCTCTGTTCATTTGCAGTGTTTTTGCTTTATTCTTCTCCTGCATAAGTGCAGGAAACTTTCCGACTTCCCCAAGTCCTCGCAACGATCCTCACATTGCCCTCAACTGTTGTGTCTCTGGCTCCCCACTTTATGCATTCAAAGTCTTAAGCAAATATGCTGAGAATCTTATGCATGCAGAAGAGAAATCATATTTACTATATTCTTAGAAATGAAACATTCCTTTGGGCTTGGGGAGAAATGCTTTTTGTATCATGAATTTAACTGTTGAGCACCAGGAATGCAACATCGCTACCAACTGGTTGAGTGTCGATGATGAAAATGAAGAGGGCTTTCCCCTTTGACCAGCAGCATTGATACATCTGGGCAGAGCATTCGTATTTTCTGGAGTCTTGTTCAAGAGCAAATCAACTGTGAATTATAGGGAAATTGTATTGCTCTTTCCCAGAAAGAGCATGGTTTATTCATATGTTTTGATTCCCTCCTGATATGGTGTGCATTATAAAGAGAATTTGGCAAGGTAGGTAGTGGTGGAGGAAGAGCTGCTTTTTAAACAACAGGTTTGTTTTTGGTTTAGTTTTGGTTTTGGTTAAACAGCCAAAACCTTCCTCCATTCTACCCGGCTTATATTTTAATACTAGCCAAAGCCTGTTTAAAATACTTGTGGCCAATGTTTATTATACGGTGGTCGCAGGGCTGTATGTAAAGTGGTTATTAAGTACTATGGTTATAAATCACTTGAGAGCCCCATAACATTTTTTACTGGCTTGTTCTGTTCTGTGTTCCTATTCATAGGATATCAATAACAAGAGTGACAGCTGACATTTCTCTTGCTAAGAGGTCTGTCCTAAATAATCCCAGCAAGAGAGCAATAATCGAACGTTCGAACACTCGGTCCAGCTTAGGTAAGATGTTCAAATGTGGTACTTGTCCAAGCTATGCTTTCAGAGTGGGATGACACATGTTTTGTTTGCGAATGTCTTTTTTCCAATTTGCTCCCCATTCTGAATGGGGAAGTGCTGATGAACTGAAAAGAATGGTATCCACAGAAAAGAAGGGAACAGAGTCCTATAGCCACTGGAGCCTCCTCTCTCAGCTCTAGTCATTTAGTTAATTAGTAGTCTGGTGGGAAGAATCCTCATTGGGTTCTCCTGGTATGTTACTGCCTAACCACGTGAAACCACTCATCTCCACTCTGCCCCAGCTTCTCAATGAGGCTAATGATATCTGTCATACCTGAGTCACAGCTGACATGAAAGAAAATGAGATGTTCAACCTTCTCAGATCTTTAGAAGAAAGCTAGATAATGGTGTTTTAGTGTTGCTTCTGCTGCTAGCTGGTAGTACCCAGAATAGTCACAGCTTTAAGTGGAAAGAGCCATGAACATGAATAACATGCAGGGAGTATAAATGCGTCTTTCCTGGAGCACAGTCAGAAAGCATTCTGAAATTCACCATGATGGAGAAGGGAAAAATACCATGTTGCTGGGGCGCCTGGGTGGCTCAGATGGTTAAGCATCTGCTTTCGGCTCAGGTCGTGGTCCCAGGGTCCTGGGATCAGGCCCCACGTCAGGCTCCTGGCTCATCGGGGAGCCTGCTTCTCCCTCTCCCTCTGCCTCTCTCCTTGCTCATGCTCTCTCTCTCTTTCTCTCTATCTCTGTGTCTCAAATGAATGGGTGAAGTCTTTAAAAAAAAAAATACCACATTGCTACCGGATTGCAGGGTGCTTATCTCACGGCGTCAAAAAATGAATCTCGCAGACACGAAAGGGTGAGGTGAAAGTTTATTAAGTGAAGATGAGAACAGAAAGGAAAGAAAAAAAAAATCTCTAAAGTGAGAGGGGTCCCGAGTGGGTTGCCACTGTGGGCTTTCACTGACGGTCTTTTATTGATAACTGACTAGGGAGTGTAAATCTTGACGTCCCTGCCACTGACAGCACTGTTTACTTTTTGTTTGTAGTTTGGTAATTTTCAGTGGTCCACCTGTAGCTGTTACAGAGATATCTCTGACATTTAAGACAAATGAGGTAGACTCGTTAGTCTCATTATATTCCCTCATCTCTGGTTTTGTTCGCCTCAGCATTTTCCCCAACTGGGATTGCTGTGAGCCCGAACACATAGCCCCCCTGTGTGAGCCTAGTCACATAGCCCCCTACCTATCTCTCCCTACCTAGCCCCACCTGCCTCTTACTCAATATGTGGTTAGCTACATAAAGCCATGGATGAACAGGGCTGTGGGAAATGGAATCACCATCCACAGAAACAAGTCCATGCCGCTGGAGAATAACGACATTCATCTCAAGAGCCTGTTTGTGCTTTCTGTGATTGCCAAGAGTGGTAAAATCCACTTAAAACTTTCTAGGAGTCTCTTGCATTCACATTCTGAGGGCAGTTTGTTTTACTCCCCTCTTCCTCGTGGGCAGGGTAGGAAAAATAGGGGTCTTCTGTGTCACAACATTTTTTTAAACAACTGAAATGATGATAGAAAACAAAAAAATTCCAAGATAGCTTGCACGCCCAAACATCCTATGCAAGAATTTGTTGGAGGCTGAACCTTGACCCTGAGCCAAGAATTGTACAGATTAGAAAGAGGCTACGAAGTATCATCTCTGTATTCCTGGCATGGGATTGGCACATGGTAATTGTTCAATAAATGTTTGTTGGATGGTTTATGAAAAAATGTTAAACATACCAATGGAATAGTTGTCAGTCCTTGTGAGGGCAAGATCCCGGACATCAGTGGTTCTTTCCTTAGTTCAGTATTTAGATCTTTCACATACAGAGTGAAACACTCTTAAAGATACAGTATTTTGACCTTAAGGAAGTAATAATGGAAGAGTTGATGATGAATCAGATTAGGGGACTGACTAAAGTTAAATGCTGTGGGAGACAAGGATGCCAAATTAGATAGAAGATTTCTTAAGCAAGCATCCATTGTCTATTCTCCTGTCTTCCACTCTCCTTTTCACTCCACAAAGTGCCTTTGACTTTTGATTACTCCTTCCTCTGATGTATAATGAGAGGTTAAAAAACACTTAAATGCATACGCAAGGTTGCCTGACTCTAACCATCTACCCCAGCCAAGGGTCTTATGGATATTCTTTGAAGTCATTCTGTGTAATCTAGTCACCTGTTTCAGTCCAGTGGAGTGGAGTTAGTGTAAATATTGAGGACAAAACAAGGTGAATGTCAGTTCACTGGTTTTTCCCTTTGCTTTGCAAATTCATATACCTACAACCATTAGAAATAATTTAATGGCAATCTATTATAATAACCACTACGTGAGCCACTTATGTCCATTTGCCTGCTTGTTAATGCACATTTGTACATTCCGCCATCACATGTTTATTGTTATGTGCTGCCACACATTATGCCAGACTTAGGAAGGACAAACATAACTAAGAAAAATATCTTACCCATAAGCCACTGGAAAGAAGGGGCAGATGATTAAAATGCTGTCTGATAATGGAATTATGAGCCAAGAGCTAGGGATATAAAGAAAGAAGGGTAGGGAGTAAGAGGTATCAAAGAAGACTTCGAGGAAGTTATATTTGAGCCGGTTCTTCAAGGCAGACAAAAATGTGCAAAGGCATCAGCATTTGTGTGGTTGATAAACAAGTAGTTTGTGCACAGAATGCTTAGGAAAGGGGAGTGGGTGGCATGGTTTGAAAGCAACAGGGAAAGAGACTAGAAAAGTAGGTTGAGGCCAGTGTGTTAGAGCTCTAAGTATGCCTTGCTAAAGAAAACTCCAAAGTAGATTCTATGAAATGTGAATTCTAAAGGATACTAATAGTTGTTACATCCAAAATGGTTTCCATAGTCAAATTTGGAAATTTGGATTAAACAGTTGGCAGTCTTTACTGCAAGTCTTCCAAGAGCCATTAAGATACAAAGGGTAATGCATGTTTGAAATTCCAAAAGAAACTATTAAAGCCTGCAATATTTTGCAAAAATATCTCTTTTTCCTCTTAGGATATTTTAAGGGATTAGTGTTCCAGGGTACTCACTTTGGGAACTATTGCTCTGAACCCAAAGGAGTAGTTTCAGCATTTGGATATAAGAAAGATCACAGATGACAGAGATGCTGGAGAGAGGTGGGTCTGGATTGGTCATAGTCAAGTTATAGAAGTGTTCGTGGAGGTTCTTCCAGCATTGTAATCCGTGACTTCTCAGGGCCCCATTTGTCTGAAATAAGATCATGATGAAACTTCCATTGGAACCTTCCTCTGGAACCGAGAATCAGCATGGGAAGTGAAGATTGCTGGATTAGCTTGAAGTTTTTCTTTAAGAAAATGAGCTATGTAGATATATATGCCGTTCTCTTTCTCAGACATCCAGTTTATGTATTGAATTCCAAATACATATTATGCAAATATGGACCCACTCTAGTATATGATGTGGCCTCTGCAGCCTTCTGGCTTCCTTGCCTAAGCACCTCTCCACTCCTGCCAGAGTTCCCATTGCCTAAGAGTTCTGTGTTGTCTAAGTCTTGGATGTGCTTGCCCTCTGCATAGGTCAAAAACCACATTTACCTCATTGCTGATGCAGAATAAATAAGGCTAGGTATTTCTGTGTTATTTACACAGTGTGCCTCAAGGGTTCTTTGTACTAGAGCAGTCCAGTTTGCCTCACTACCTTTTTGCTACTTCAGGAAACATTGTATTCAGATTTGAAATTTAAAGCAGTGCAGACTTGTTCTGCCATAGTCCTGGACAGGAGTTAAACCAGTGACAATTTAATGACAACATCAAATGGAGAGCATACCCCAACAGCCAGAGGCTGAAATCTACTACAGTACAAATACACTTTATTTTCTGAACTTCTCTTATAAGAAAAATCTTTTTTTAACTGTTTTTGACATGTGAGAAAAAAGGGACAGGTGTGTTATTATTACTCACAAGTGTAGTATGTGACTTCAGAAGAATTTTGCAAATGAGCCTAATTGTCCAAATTCTTTACATAAATGTCTTGGGAGCTAGTCATCTTTCAAAGTAATATAAAATCTTTCAGACCACTGGGATTGGATCATATGAAAAATGATAGCTATGTTCACTCTTGAAATTCCTATTTCTAATACAAATCATGCATTAAACATCAGTGATTTTGTGGGAAGAATTTTAGGCTATTATATGCAAAGCCCAAGAAACTAGAGTTACAAGATAGTCTTGAGCATTCATGCTCCCGCACACCCTGTCAGTATGTCTGGTTATGGAAGGGAGGACTCTTTGGTGGGTGATGTGAACCAGTATGTCTGGTTATGGAAGGGAGGACTTTTTGGTGGGTGACGTGAACTTGAATATATACTGTATAAGCAAAACAAATCATGGCATTCTGGTAGAAACCCTTTTCAACGGGTATATTTAAAGCAACATCACCTCTTTCCTAGGCCATCTTTGAAGTAATTTACATTAGGCAACTTTGTCTACTCTGTGTAATTTAAACGAGATTACAACATTGCTAGGTCATGCCTATAATGCACAGGCCAAAAATAAAAATAAGTAAAAAATAAAACAAGACCATCTCTCTGAAAATTAAGTAGTCTAATTCAGACTTTGAATATGACCCAATATATCAGGTGATTTATAAAATATATATGAAAAAACTTTTTATGTTTTAGAAAACCAAATTATGTTTTTATAGATAATCTGCTTTGTTTTAAAAATAGCTGGCTTGCTTCAGACATGGAGAATAACTAGATTTTTTTATTTGACTAGATTCATGCAGAGATTCAGGTCACTTGGCTATTACAGCCAGTTGAATAGATTTCATTCTCAAGGCATTTCAGCATTTATAATATAATTGCCTTAGTTTTTTTTTTTTAATACTGAAGATTATGCCTTAGACCAAGTGTACTGGCTCTAATACTTGAATTAAGACATAGTAATATGTTAGTTGTAAGAGTAGACCCAGACATTTAACCCTGGATAAAAAATATGCATATCAGTCAAAACAGATGAATTGTGGGGTTTTAAAAATACATATTTCCAAAATATTAATATATAAATTGTTGATTGGTTGAAATATTTCAGTGTAATTTGCTTTCCGTGTGATGTTGCTCTACACATGTATTTCAGCTCTTTCCTAAGTGTGGTTTCAGCTTTCATAGCTAAGTAAAAGTTCTTTAGAACAAAGCAACAATCATAAACAACATAGCTATATAAATAACTTAATTTCAGGACAAGTGTAAGAAGTGAGTTAAGAGGACCATCTCAGTTTTTTTCACCAAATATTTGGTTTGGTGAAAACCAACCAAAACTCAACCCATCTCTCTCTCTTTAGAAAAGATCTTAAGTTAAAAGAAGTATGAAATTCAAAATGTTCTGTTTTGCAATGTAGACAAACATCAGAAAGGGGTACTATGTTTTTAAATATAAGAACTAATTAATAAAAATAACCATGTCCTGTTATTTATTATTTCTCCTTTTAGCGGAAGTACAAAGTGAAATTGAAAGAATCTTTGAGTTGGCAAGATCTTTGCAACTGGTTGTTCTTGATGCAGACACCATCAATCACCCTGCACAACTTATAAAGACTTCTTTAGCACCAATTATTGTTCATGTAAAAGTCTCATCTCCAAAGGTAATTAGCTCATTTGTCCCTTAAGGATCAGAAGCTCCTTTCCTTTGAAATATTCTTTGCTCTGTGCTTTTTTGTTAGTCAGGAGAATATCTTATTGAGACCCTTTTTAATGGGCAGTTTTAATTCCCACAGTCTGTACAGGTTCTAGAAATTCTAAGAGAGCAAATAAAGAATAGCCATTGTTTTAAAGAAGGTCACTCTCTATTGTGGTTCCCCAGCCAGGCAGTTATGCAAGAATATAATAGAAACAAAAAGTTAAGAAAGATGAGAAAAAGTAAGTATGGCTTTTCAGAGACTTTGGGTTCTATCTTAGTAAATTTCTTGGGGAATATTGATTCCTGTAGCACCTACATTCTCTCCCTGGTTGAGAGAGTACATAGTTCAAGAAAGGTATATGCATTTATCATATATAAAGTCAAACATCACTGCATAAAATCTCTGATGGAAAAGTTATAGATGTTTATATATGTGCTCAGGTTGGGTTCTTCAAGGAATAGGTATTCTGTGATTAAACACAATGGGATATCTGCCATGTGTCTTTATGCCACAAAGGTAGATAAAAATAAAAGTGAGACTGCCTCAAATTGGTCTCTTTTGATTTGGTTGTTCTTTCATTTTTAAGAAGTGATGACATTCTAAAAAGTTAATGTGAAAAAGATATCCTAGGGAGGTACTACCTTAATAATTAGTTTATTTTTAATGCCTCCAAGAGTGCAGTTTAGCACTAAAATGCCAATTCAATTTCCAACCAGAGCAGTAGTCGCCTCTCTCAGATGGAGAATGTCCAAAGAAGCTGCGTCCTTCCCCAACCCCTCAGCCTTCCATCTCTGCAGGCACTGGTTCTACACAGGATGGACTTGGGAATCCTGACCAAACCAGGACCTTCTGGGAACCATTAGAATGGACTGAACTTGCCTTGACCACCTGGCGGTCTCTTTGGCCCAGAAACTGAAGGGGATTCAAGCACCCTTCATCGCAGCAGAATAGATCTCAGCCTCTTTCTGCTGCTGCCTCATCACCAGGGGATCATTAAGTGTAGGAACAGGGGCTCCTATGGACATACGCGCTGAGGTGTCATAGAGCCTCACTGACTAGTACCATTTTGGGGGTGAGGGCCCTGTTTCAGCTAAAAAAAATGGAAGGGAGAGGGAGTATATGACAAATGCAGTTACAGCAGTGCCCAAATGACACAGATATTCACTGGTTTATATGCAGCAATATGCCAGTGCAAATGTTTTGCCTAGATTTCTATCATGAAATCTTCTTATTAATGTAAACTGGAACACCTCAATAATTATCAGTGACCAAAAGGACCAGTTACATAAAAGACTGATACTTATCTGATATTGAGATAGTGAACTAAAATAGTACTTAACTGAATTTGGACATAAATGACCTGGTACAGAGCAATCCCTCCACTTTTGCAGGGCTCTCTTTGAAATTTCTGGGTAAAATCTAGGGCGGGAACTTGAGATCCCACTAGGACCCACACAGAGAGAGAATAGGATGCACACACCAAAGCCACGGTAAGTGAGAGCTGGTGTAAGTGGGTGATGTCATTACGGAGTTTACATATGTGATTTTTCATATTGTGTTTCCTCTTTATTAATACTCAGGGCTAACCAGACTATTAAAAAGGTCTTGGTTTATTCATTTTTCTTTTAACTCATTGATTCATGTCTTCTTCTATCAGGTTTTACAGCGGTTGATTAAATCTAGAGGAAAGTCCCAAAGCAAACATTTAAATGTTCAACTGGTGGCAGCTGACAAACTTGCACAATGTCCCCCAGTAAGTACCATCACTTTTTGTCTTAGTCATTCTTGCCAAGACAGGAGAGGGTGGTGTGTTTTGTGTTTTTTGTTTTCCTATTACCATTGTCATTTTTGTTCTAGAATGAGGGTGATGATATGTTACCATAAACATACAGGGTTTTTCGAACAAAGGGCTGTTGTCATGTTGGCTACACTCAGGCATCCAGAACTGGGTGGTGTCTGCCATGTAAGAAGAAATGAACCTAGTGTCCTGTGTCCCATGTCCTCGCCTGCTACCTTGACCTCGCAGACACTCGGCAGACTGCTTAATCCAGTCATGGGGACACGTTTATGAAAAGAGAAAAACAAACAAAACATCCTGATTTGACTTTCCTTTAATTTTTCTGCCAGAAAGTTCCAGTAGGCAGAAAAGATATGACCTTGAAGGCTGAGAATTTATGGGAACTAGAAGAGCCCTGCGGTTATAGCAGATGAAGAGGTCAGGGTTAAGTAAGATGAAAAATCAAATTATAGCGATGTTTGTCCTGGTGCCATTGCCAGCAAACAGCGGCTGAGCTGGAAGCCAAGACGATGGCAGGGATTTTGGTGGGTGCGGGGAGGTGACTGCCCCCGCCGTGGGTCACCAGTGGCTGATCAGTCTGTTGCTCAGCTGACTTACTCCTTCTGTTCCTGTGTTTCTCTAAAGAAAATAACTGTCTTTCCCACTGATTTGATTTACTAGATTTTTTTTTATTTTTTTATTTTTTTAAAGATTTTATTTATTTATTTGAGAGAGAGAGAAAGTGAGAGAGAGGATGAGAGGGGAGAGGGTCAGAGGGAGAAGCAGACTCTCTGCTGAGCAGGGAGCCCGATGTGGGACTCGATCCCAGGACTCCAGGATCATGACCTGAGCCGAAGGCAGTCGCTTAACCAACTGAGCCACCCAGGCGCCCTGATTTACTAGATTTTTAAATATATACTTGTGTAAGGATCATTTGTGTTCTGTGGAAGCATAAAATCTAATCCGGATGTTTAGAGAGACAATACAGCTTGGCTGTTCAAAGTATGGACTCTGGAGCCAGATTGCCTGTGTTCACATCCACACTGGTTTTGTAATCTTGAGCAAGTACCTCCCTCACTGGGTTGGTGTAAAGATTCAATGAGTGACTATGTGGTAAAGCTCTTAGCACAGGGCCTGGCACATAATAAGCACCATCTAGGTGTTTCTGTTATAAATATCGGATGTATTTTGCATTCTGCCTTGCCTAACCTGTCAGGCTCTCTAAGGATCTGTTCCTGTGGAGTTCACTGTTATATCTCAGCCCTTTATTATGGTGGGCCCACAGTAAATATTTATTGCATAAGTGAATGAATGAAAGGATGAACGAAAGACAGTAAGAGTCTGATGCATCCTTTTGCTGGATGCTTATTAGACAGGCCAGACACAATGCTAGATGCTTTACGTGGATTATCTGTAATCTTCACTGTTACCTAGTAAGGGAGGCAGTATTACCCCCATTTTGTAGATGAGGCTACTGAAGGGAGAGAGGTTAGATGATTTTCCTAAGGTCCCCCAGCGAATTAGGATTAGATTAAATCTATCTGGCCCCAAAGCCAGTTTCCGTCCTCCCAGTTCCACCTACCTATACATACAACTGGATCCCTGCCCGCAGATAATTTGGACAGGCTGGGGTCTGGGGTGCTATGTTAAGACGTCCAACTTACGAAGTGAACGAAGTCCTCTTACAAAATGGAATGTATAATTCAAGCCCCTCGTGTAAAGACAAAAATGTATTACCTAGCCCCTGACTCTACAATCCTTACCTGCTGAAGGAAGTTAACCTTTACTGAGCAGCCACCCCAAACACTAGGCTATGCCGTTGTTTCCAATTCTTAGAACAGTCTTGTGAAGAGAGTGGTGTCAGTTTGGGTCTTCTGGGAAGCAGACACCTAAGTGGAATTAGAAGTCACGGATCTATTGGAGGAAATGCGTTTGAAAGACTAAAAGAGAAAGAGGGCAGAAGAGGCCGGGAGAACCTTCCGACCAGACCAGACTGATGGCATGAAAGGAAAGGAGGAAGGAAGGAGGAATGGATTGGAGGAGCCTCAGACTGAGATGCCGCTTTCTTGCCTGTTTATCACACGTTGGGCAGAACTGTTCGCGCTCTAGTCCCCGTGCTGTGCTCAGGCACTGGCTAGGAGCCGCGGCCTGTGGCTTGGACCAATGCTGTGGTTCTTCCAGAAGGTGCCACAGCCCCCCCAACCCCCGCCCCAGGCTGTCTGCTGACTACACTCATCACAGCGGGGTTTCCCAGTAAATCTGAGGATAGGCCTCTTTGACCACCCTAGTAGATAACATTACCCTTACTCTCTAGAAGGGAAAGCTAGGTCCCGGGTTAGGAAACTTGTTGGGAGGTAACAATTAGTAAATGAGCCCCCAGACTCAACCCTAGGTCTGTCTGACTCCAACAAACCTCCGTTCACTGTGCCCCTCCACCTCTACACAGCTGTGTCGTGCAGGTGAGTCTCTGGCCCCCAACTTTGCTGTGCAAGAGAAATCTCCAGGACAGAACAAAGACCTCAAGTGGTAAAGGGGAGTTGGTAAGGAAATTGAGGGAGTTGAGGGGGAGAGTTCCAGTTCAGGCAACCATTGGCCACGTCCATGTGGTTCTTCAGGATGGATGTTCTGCTGCATCGGACCTCATCCGGAACAGAGAATCTTCGTCAGGCAGGAGACATGGACGTTCCTGCTCTCTGGACATTGGCAAGGGAGTTCCTTTCTCTTCTGTGTCTGAGGGAGAGGAGGTGTCTCCCTCTTTTCCCCTCTTGTTGCTATTAAGGGAACTTCCTGTTGTTTGCTTTTGTTATGTCTAAAAGCATCCCCACCTTCCTTTGTTTCCTGAGTCAGTTAGCAAAATCTCTTCAACCAATTTAGGCTTTTAGGAAACAAAACCCAGGAAGGGAAATGGAGAGCTGGCAATTTCCTGCCACAGCACCCATCACCGGCCCCCCCACCCCCATCCCCATGCCAGACAAGGAAACCCAGACCCTGTCACCTGCATGAGTGGTAGAAAAGAAAGGGGGAAAACACAAAAGGGAAAATACAGATTATTATCGCAAAATTCGTTGGCCATGTTTGTCTTCACAGATGTAGAGGGATCTACACCTTGCAGGTGGCCTAGTTCTGTGAGGTCCCTGAGGTAGCCGCAAGATGTGCCAGAGTTTGGGGAGCAGATCTGAGTGGACTGGAGAGTAGTTAGTCCTGTCTAATTTCATTGGACAGAGTGAGCAGATTCATCCACCAGGAGCAAGGCATTTCACAAGTCTATGCAAATGCAAATGCCGAAAAGAATGGGATGGCTTTCTAAGTGGTGAGCTCCTAGTCTCTCACCACATTCATTTGGAGGCTCTCCGTTCGTGGAGTGGGCTCTAGGAACAAATGTTAGCGTTGTGAGAGGAATCTCCTCTGGTTAAGGCTGAAGGCTATGGTATCTTAAGACCCTTCTCAACTGTAAGACTGATTCTGTCTAGATTTTGGAAGTAAGTGATCAGTGTAGAGATGTTGGTAAAACCAATATCTGTGGAGCCCAAGGAAGAGGAGAGTATAAAAATAAGCAGAAAATATATCAAGTTAAGTGATAGCTTCATTGTTTCAAAATGTCATTAATATCAGATACTTCTATGGAACGATTGGTGGGCATGGCTGAGGACATGGTATCCATGCCACTGTAGGGTTAAATCAGACAAACTCAAAATATTTGGTCATCTCAATTTTGTGCGGCTCACCTACAAGAACTAAAATACATTCAGCAAACATTATTTAAGTGTTAGGCCTGGGGCGCTTGGGTGGCTCAGTTGGTTAAGCGGCTGCCTTCGGCTCTGGTCATCATCTCAGGATCCTGGGATTGGAGCCCCACATTGGGTTCCCTGCTCAGCAGGGAGTCTGCTTCTCCCTCTCTCTCTGCCCCTCCCCCCTGCTCACGTGCACGTGCACACGCGCTTGCGCTCTCTCTCTCTGACTCTCTCACTCAAATAAAGAAATAAAATCTTAAAAAAAAAAAAGTGTTAGGCCTGTTACCTCGCTAGGTGTTGGGGTTTCAAAGGCATGTTCCTGCCTTCAAGGACTGCATAGTCTAATAAGATTGCAGTTGGCTACAGACAAACAACTGAAACAGACTCAAACACAGAGAACAAACTGGTAGTTGCCAGAAGGGAGGTAGGTGAGGGGGCAGATGAAATAGGTGAAGGAGGTTAAGAGGTACAGACTTCCAGTTATAAATAAATAAGTCATGATAAAAAGTACAGCCTAAGCAATATAGTCAATAATTTGTAAAAACTTTATATGGTGACAGATGGTAACTCTGCTTGCGGTGAGCATTCTGTAATGTATGTAATTGTCGAATCAGTACGTCCTGCCCCTGAAACTGATATAATATCATATGTCAATTATTCTTCAGTTTTTCAGAAAGAGATTACAGTTGGCTAAGTCAACTCTTAGCAAACAATTTGGTAGATCATAAATATCCTTACAGATATTACTTTATAAATCTCTTGTAGATGAAGAGAGTGGTTTAGATCAGGGTTTCTCCACCTCAGCACTATTGACATTTTAGGTTGGATAATTCTTTGTTATGGGAACCTGTCCTATGCACTGTAGGATGTTTAGCAGCATCCCTGGCCAGTACCAACTTCCAAATTGGGACAACCAAAAATGTCTCCAGACGTTGCGAAATGTCCCTTAGGGAAAAAAATCACTCCTGGTTGAGAACCACTAGTTTAGGTTAATATAGACACACGTTTTGGTGAATAACATTATAAGAAGTCTTTTTTTTTTTAAAGATTTTATTTATTTATTTATTTTTGACAGCGAGAGAGGGAACACAAGCAGGGGGAGCGGGAGAGGGAGAAGCAGGCTTCCCGCCGAGCAGGGAGCCCGATGCGGGGATCGATCCCAGGACCCCGGGATCGTGACCTGAGAGCCAAAGGCAGATGCTTAACGACTGAGCCACCCAGGTGCCCTTATAAGAGGTCTTAATA